TATATACCATATAAATTAAACAGTAATCCAAAAAGAGCTAGAGTGACTGTACTAATAGACAAAATAGACAGTAAGAAAAAACTGGTGTGATAAAGGACATTATATATTGAAAAAAGTGTTTATCCATCAAGAATATGTGTCATTTATAAATATATGTGCACCTAACAACAGAGGACAAAAATATATGAAGCAAAAAAATGACAGTATTGAAGGAACAAATAAATAATTTAACAGTAATAGTTGGAGACTTAAATATCTCATTTTCAATAACCAATAGAACAACTAGACAGAAGATTGATGAGGAAACAGAAGACATGAGCACACTATAAACCAACTAGACCTAACAGATACCTATGGAACAATCCTCCCAACTATAGCAAAATACACATTTTTCTCAGGTGCACATGGAACATTCTTCAAGGTATATCCTTGTTATACCATAAAACAGCTCTCAATAAATCTGAAAGGACTGATAGCACACAACGTATGTTCTCTAACCACAATGGAATAAAATTAGAAATCAATAAAAGAAAATTTGGGGAATACACATATATGAATAAACATGACACTTCTAAACAACCAATGGGTCAAAAAGAAATTTCAAGGGAAGTTAAAGAACAGTTTGAGATGAACAAAATGAAAACATAACAAAACATCTCATATGCAGCTAAAGCAGTGCAGAGAGGGAAATTCATAGCTGCAAACACTTATTTTTTAGTTTTTTATGAGCAATCCCCTGAACCAGAATAGGTTCAGAGTACTTCAGTAGGCACTTACATTTAAAAAAAGAAATATTTCTCAAATCAATAACCTAAGCTTATCTTTAGAAACTAGAAAAAGAAAAGCAAGTTAAACCCCAAGCAAACATAAAGAAGATAATAGTGAGGATTAAAACAGAAATAAGATAGAGAAAAATATATAAAACCTTCTACAATTTGGTTCTCTGGAAAGATCAACAAAACTGACATACCTTTAGCTGGACTAACCAAGAACAAAATACAGGAGACACAAATTATTAAAATTAGAAATGAAAGAGAAGACTCTACTACTGACCTTACAGAAAGAAAGACAAGGGGTTACTCTGAAAATTGTAAGCTAACAAACTAGCCTAGATGAAATGGACAAATTCCTAGAAATAACCAACTACTGAAACTGACTCAAATAAAGATAGAAAATCTGCATAGGCTTATAAGAATAAAAATAATAAATGAAACAAAGAAACAAAACTTTCTACACACAAGAAAGCCCAAAACCAGATGGTTTCACTGGTAACTGCTACAAAATGTTTAAAGAAGAATTAACCCCGATCCCTCACAAACTCCTCCCAACAACAGAAATAGAGGGAATACTTACCTAATCATTTTAAGAAGCCAATATTACCTTGATAGCAAAACCAAAAACATTACAAGAAAATAAAACTACAGAACAGTATCCCTTATGAACAGAGATGCAAAAAAAAAATCTTAACAAATTACTAGCAAGCCTAATGCAACAACATATAAAAAGGACAACATGACCAAGTAAAATTTATCCAAGGAATGAAAGCTTAGTTGTGCATTTGAAGTCAATCACTATAATACACCATAGTAATGGAACAAAGGACAAAACCCCCAAGATCATCTCAACTGACATAGCAAAAGCATTTGGCAAAATTCAACATAATTTCAAGACAAAAATTCCCAACAAACTGGAAATAGAAGGGAATTTTCTAATCCTGATGAAGAACATTGAAAAAACCCACAGTTGACATCACACTTAATGGTGACAAACTAAAAGCTTTCCCCCTTAGATCGGAAACAAGACAGGGAAGTCTGCTGTCACCAATTCTATTCAATATTGCACTGGAGATTCTACCAGGAATTATATACGAAAATGAAATAAAAGGCAGCAAAATTGGAAAGGAAGAAGTGAAACAATCTCTATTTGTAGATCATACTATCTTATACACTAGTCTTCACTGTCATTGATAGGTTTTTAGAGACTGCAACTTTAAGTGAAATGATAATGTATGACAAAATCAATTTTTTCTTATCAACATCATAACACAACAACATTGAATGAAATGATGTTATTCAAGGACCTGCTATATATCATTTCACTTGAAGTTTAAACCTAAGAACCTATTGATGATGTCAAGTCAGGACTTACTGTATACAGAAAATATACAACAAATTGTATTACTGAGTTTGCAATACTCCTCAAATTGATCTATAGACTCAATGCAAGCCTTATCAAAATTCCAGCTACTCTTTTTTACAGAAATGGAAAATCTGGTCCTAAAATTCACATAGAAATGCAAGGACCTAGAATAGCTAAAACAATCTTCAAAAAAANAAAAAAAAAAAAAAAAAAAGCTGGGAGATTCACATTTAGATGTCAAAACTTCCTACAACAATCAAAGTGAACCAGCAACCAACAGAATAACAGAATGAGAAAACATTTTTGCAACCTACCTACCTGACAAAAGAGCTAATATCCAGAATCTACAAAGAACTTAAGCAAATGTACAAGAAAAAAACAACCCCATCAAAAAGTGGGCAAAAGATATGAACAGACACTTCTCAGAAGACATTTATGCAGCCAATAAATGTATGAAATAATGCTCATCATCACTGGTCATTAGAGAAATGAAAATCAAAACCACATTGAGATACCATCTCATGCCAGTTAGAATGGTGATCATTAAAAAATCTGGAGACAACAGATGCTGGAGAGGATGTGGAGAAATAGGAACACTTTTTCACTGTTGGTGGAAGTGTAAATTAGTTCAACCACTGTAGAAGACAGTGCCGCAATTCTTTAAGAGGATCTTGAAATAGAAATACCATTTGACCCAGCAATCCCATTACTGGATATACACCCAAAGGATTATAAATTGTCCTATAAAGACATATGCCCATGTATGTTCACCGTGGCACTGTTTACAATAGCAAAGATTTGGAACCAACCCAAATGCCCATCAATGATAGACTGGATAAAGAAAATGTGGCACATATACACCATGGAATGCTATGAAGCCATAAAAAAGGATGAGTTCGTGTCCTCTGCAGGGATGTGGATGAAGCTGGAAACCATCATTCTCAGCAAACTGACACAAGAACAGAAAACCCAACACTGCATGTTCTCACTCGTAAGTGGGTGTTGAACAATGAGAACACATGGACACAGGGAGGGGAACATCACCGACTGGGGCCTGTTGTGGGGTGGATGGCTTAGGGGAGGGATAGCAGGGGGTTGGGGGACTGGTGAGGGATAACATTAGGAGAAATACCTGATGTAGGTGATGGGGGGAATGGATGCAGCAAACCACCATGACATGTGTATACCTATATAACAATCCTGCACAACCTGCACATGTACCTCAGAACTTAAAGTATAATAAAAATTAAAAAAAATTTACATGTATATATGGTAATATTAATGCTACTTGGGCAAACCAGAAGCAAAGAAGCAGTCAAGGCTTGATGACTCTACCCAATACCTGTTGCTGGATTTCTTGTCTAAGTAAGCTAATGTTCCTTACTGCTCCAGATATATTCTCTAGATGACAGTGATACATAATCTTTACTGTCTTCAAAATTTGAAATACAAACAGCAATGTTTTAAAGATTGGTAGGATTTCATTTGTTTCTCTGGACATTCCACTTTTTTAGAGCCCATAAAATGGTACCTGGAAGATAAAGTGGCAAATGCTGATAGGTACTTAAGCAGTCTTAGTTCTTGTTTGTTTGTTTTTTTGTGAGAGGGAGTCTTGCTCTGTCACCTAGGCTGGAGTACAGTGGTGCAATCTCAGTTCACGGAAACCTCCTCCTACTGGGTACAAGCGATTCTCCTGCCTCAGTCTCCCAAGTAGCTGGGATTAGAGGCACCTGCCACCACACCCAGCTAATTTTTGTATTTTAGTAGAGATGGGGGTTCACTATGTAGGTCAAGCTGATCTCGAACTCTTGACCGCAAATGATCCGCCCGCCTTGTCCTCCCAAAGTGCTGGGATTACAAGCATAAGCCTCTGCGCCTGGCTGTTAGTTGTTTATTTTTATTTAAAAACAGCCTAGTCAGCAATCATCTCTTTGCCTCTCACAGACCAATCAGCTAACTCTCAGGTGACTTCTTGGCTAAAATCCTCAGTTAACACTAGGGCCAAAGGCAGTGATGACTCACTGGCAAACATCAGATGCTCAACAAGAAAATGTTCCCCAGAAACAGCCTTCTGCTGCAGTGACTAGTGTACTGTGAGTGGCATCCAGCTTTGTAGCTCTCCTTTCTCCCACAGCTTGGTATTCATCACCCATCTTTTCATTAAGATAAGATGATACAGTAGGCAGTAATACAGATGGAAATATAGTGAAATATCAATAAGTGAAATGTAGAATACCTTGTTTTTAGCTAATTCTTTTTCCAAATTGCATCTTTCTTGTGCTATTTCTTTTTCTGTTTTATTAACCTGCCCAAGGGGGGTGGGAAAAAAAAGAACTGGGTCAATTTTACAGCAGCTGACAGGCTACACTATAGCAGACATATCCTGTGTGTCAATTAATACCTACACTGCAGAGATAGCACATCCTCTCAGAAAAGGGGCCAATCAGGGAGTCTCTGAAGCAGAGCAGACTTCACAAATAGCCCTGAAATTAGAAAGACACGTCTACATGTCAGACTCTGCTGGTTCCTTCCTAAGTAGGAAGACAGGGCTATTACCCCTTAACCTCCACTGTCCCACTCCTTCAGGGAAAATCAATTTTTAAAATCTGATCCCTTAACTAACATGAGGATGTGTGAACTACTAGTTAACATTCACTAATGCTGGATAAGGATATACTGTTCTATTTGGCACAGACTACTTCACATGCTAAAAGGCACAGGTTAGCCACCTAAAGATTCTTTATCGGGTAACTCAGACAAGCTGCAACTGGGTTTCTTTTCTTGTCTTTTGCATTTAAAATATAATTTTAAAACACCACCACACCACAAGAGAAGATAATGTCAATCTGCTACCTACCTACCTCCCTCTGAAATCTTTCTTTCTCCTCTAGCAGAAACTTCTTCTCTTGCACTGATGCTTCCAATTCACCTTGCAATCTTGCAATAGTTGATTCTAGCAGCTCTTTTTGCACAGATGTTCTCTTTTCAGCATCCTGTGCTTTCTGGATACACTGGTTATGCTCAAGGATTAAATGATCCCTGCAGGAAAAGAACAAGAACATACGAAAGCTAAATGAGAGTTCTAATTTAACAGAAAGAGCAATTAAATGTTCTTACAGAACATATTTCCTGACTAAGAGTAGTTACCAAAATGGTCTAACAAAACTAGTTTCTTAAGGGCAGAGTCTTAATTTTATCTTTGTAACTGGCCCAAAAATGCAGGATTAAATGTTTTCATTGAAGACAGGCAGACACACACACACGATAAGAAACACAAATGCAAGAACGAAAAATGTGTAAGAAGTTGCCCATAATTTACTTACAGATGTTGTTGGAGTTGGGTTTTCTCATTCTGAACAGTCTGTAGTTCATTTGTGATACTGGCATGGGCTGCATCCAGCAGTAAGTTTTGTTCTTGAAATGTCTGCGTCATCATTTTCTGCTCTACCTGAGTGTTAAAAGCAGTATTAGAAGCTGAGGCTCTAGAAAATCTTTTGATAGCTGGGATTACAGGGTATCATTTGGAGTAACTGATCAAAGACACTGAACTAACTTAAAAAAAAACAAGTTTTATTTATATAAATAAAATCTCTTTTTAAAATAATTAATTTTAATGCCCAGTTTCTCTTTGTACTCTTCTGAGTTGACCAAAATTCTACCATTTTATAGCTCTACTAACCAATAGTGAAGATGCATTATTTACCCAGCCTACTGAAAAACTATAAAACTCCTAATACCAACAGATTTTTAAAGATAGTGTATTAGGAGTATTTTTGGCATTTTAAAATTTCAATATGGTACTTTATTTTTAAAAGTAAAACAATATAAGTGTATATAAAATGAAAAGATCCCTTCCTATTCACACTTCCCCTCTAAATAATCCCACATTCTAAGGATTACCATGTTGAACAGTTTGCTGTGAATTCTTTTGAGACTATCTTAAATTGCACTCAGATACTGTTACAGCAGAAGCACTATAACTGTTTTACAAAATTTATTTTCTTTGCCTCACCATTTTGAAATTATCAAAACATAACATTTTTGTGTACCACATAATCCATTAAGTTTTTGCAAATACAGTACATATTAACAATCAGTTTTATTAATACTTTTTAAAACACTTCTATTTTAACAATATTTGATTGCAAAGCAAGCCTTCATACTTGGTAAAATGGGATCCCAATTGTGTTATATTATAAAATTTTGAAATACTTGTAATAAATAGTATTATATATTCAGTCCACTGAATAAATCCATAATAGTAGGAATTCTGTCTTGTTCACCACTATAATCCTATCTAGATACAGCATTATACTTGCACAGAGTTAAAAAACTAATTATTTATTCAGTATATGTTATGTGCAAAGTGTGCTTAGCACTATGAGAAATAATGTCCTTGCTTCTAGGAAGCTCACAGTGTAACCCAGGAAAAGAACCAGCACATAAATTACCACTAGAGAATGCAGAATAGGGAATTAGCATAACAATTAAACACACGGACTCTGAAGTCAGCCTGGATCAAAATGCAACTCTACTTCTTACTAGTTAGGTGAATTTGGGCAAGTGAACTTCTCTAACCCTCATTTTCTTATTTGTAAAATGAGGATAATAAATATCATTTTACATAATGGCTGCTACAATTAAAGGAGGTAATATGTGTAAAATCCTAAGCACAATGTTTGGTGTATACAGAAAGCAATGCTTATAAAAAGAGAAAGTGATTATTACTATGGTAGTCTGTTTAGTGTCCCAGGAATAGAAGTTGAAAGGGAAAACTTATTCCTTCTTATTGGAATGAGAAAGCTCCCTGATGAAGGTGACTCTTAAAGAATAAACAGAATTTCAGATATTGAAGACAAAGTAAAAAGCATCCTCAGCATAGAAAATGACATAAGCAAAATGGGAAACTGCAAGGTGTTTGAGGAAAAGGTTAAGTACTTTAGGGTTAGTCACATATGCTCTCCATGATTCTATAAATAATGGGACAAGTAATTATTTTTTTCCTCAAGTGATAATATTTGAGAAGAAGCCATGAAAATCCTTGAGTGTAAGGCCAAATCACCCCTCTGATGAAAAGTGAAAAGCATTAATAGAAATAAGATAATTCAGACAATTTTTTGGAATTTATTGTTAAAATATTTTATTTTTCCAGTTGGCCATGGACATTTCCTGATCTATCAACCAGGGTGGCTTTCTGCCACCTGGTGAACTCTATTAAATTTAACACATTCACTAGTGTTAAATGAATACCTGCAGAATGGCCTGATGCTCAGCAATGATTCTGGCTTTCTCCATACTAACAGTCTGAAGTGTGCAGCTCAGCTCTGAACACTTTTTAGTCAATTGGTCATTCAAAACCTAAGAAAACACACACAGCGATTCATTGGTTTCTCCAATAAAGAATTATTTTTACTTATGTATCATTATTTTTAATGAATGCATAGTATCTCACTATATATGTGAACCTAATTTATTTAACCTATCCTCAATTCACATTGCATTAGTCTAAAAAATACTTTCAAATATTAAAAGTCTATACTCTACAAAATTATAAATTAAGAGATTTGTTGATTTGGTAGAGCAACTGATGCATACAGCATTTTACTGATCTATTCTTCACAACTTTGAACACTGGTTCATTAGAGCAAGACATCTGCAAAACGGAATTTATAATGCCAGTGCCTAGCCAATATCATAGAAATCCATGAGCATTCAGAATTATTTAGCTGGTAACACAAAATACCTAAGCTCCTTCGCCACCAACTGACAATATTCATAAAAGCAAAATATAATGATTTTACCATCACAGGATTAATCTTTCAAAATAAAACAAAAATCTTTTGAGCTACACAGATCCATCATATATGTAGGTAACCATTCTCTTTTCTTTTCATACTTTGAAATTTGTATTATTGCCAAGAAGATTTATCTCAATTATCAGTTATTTTTGCAAGGCAGATTTAGCAAATAACTTATGTTTTAAACAAGTTCTTCAAGAACAAGAAACTTTGAAGGAACACTATGAAAAGGAAACACAAAAAATGAAATGGAATAAAAGAAAAGATAAATAAAAGACTACATGGCAAACATCACAAATGGTATGGACAGTACAGTAGTTAGAAACACATTCAGGGGCATAAAGTCGCACCAGATATACAAGCTATTCATCAAGGAATACCTGGGAGCGAAACAGAGGAGAACCTTTGCTCTTTGAAAAGAAATAGCTAATTTTCTTTGGAGCCAGATTACCTGAGTTCAAATTTCAACTCTGCCACCTACTATCTTTGCTCCTGAACTTCTTTGTGTATCAGCTTCCTTATCTTTAAAATGTGAATACCAGTTTCCATTTCATAGGGCAATTGTGAGGATTACAACTTGTTAGTAATATAAGATGCCTAGAATTGTGCCTACAATGTGGAATGGGCTCAGTAAAAATGTTAACTACTATTAGCATAGGAAGAGTAATAGTAGTTGATGTTATTATATTTAAAAACACATTTTGTATTTTTAAATTATTTTTCTTTATTATAAAGAGAGCCCAGCAACACTATGATCCTAATATTGAGACAATCAAATTGTACCAAGAGAAAAGTTACTTTAAGTGATAAACAATTGTTTGGGCTCTGTGATAAACTCCAGTTTGCCTGCGTATCTGGTGACTCTTCTTGCTGCAGGTACACATATATATAAAACATCAGCCCGATTTGAGAATCACCATCCCAGAAATGAGTACACATAAACTTTAAAATTCAGTAGACATTTGCTAGGTTCCTACTACGCTATTTACTATAGAAGATACAAAGAAAGTAAGACATAGCCCTTGCCATGGAACTATTCAGAAGTTCACTTTGAAGGGAGAAAGACATATATTTAATGAGAAAATCAGAAAGCAAACAAAGGCAAGTATAAACTAGTGCATAATTTTAGTGGTATAGCTTGTATACTTATACATAATAGGAATTTGGAGAATTAAATGAGAAATGTCATTAATTTGATAATGTTTCAAAGATGAAATAAGTCTTATAGAAATAAGTTGGGTGATGGAGATGGTATGAATTTATATAATCAAGACTAATTTTGTTTCTTGGTTATTTAATTGAACAAAATTAAATAACATCTAAAAACTAGTAAAAGCATGAAAATTTACTTGTGTTTTTTCTGATGCTTCATGAAGAGATATTATTTCAGACCTCAAATATTCATTTTCTTTGTGTTCCTTGTTGAAAGATATCTGCACATTCTGTAAGGAAAAAATAATAACTCTCTTTTTCACATATAAGAGATATTACATGCACCCCTGTAAAAATAACTGTTTTGTATTTCAGTCAGTACCAGTTCAAGTTCCAATGACATACACTGGAACTTTATAAGTGTCTTATAAAGAATTTATAAAAATCTTGAAACCTTCAACTCCTGAACTTCTCTTTATTTCTAAATTATTTAATAAAATTGTTTATTTAAAACAATAATGAGATACCACTACATACCTATTACAATGGCCAAAATCTAGAACACTGACAACAACAACTGTTGTCAAGGATGTGGAGCAATAGGGATTCTCGTTCATTGCTGGTGGAAACGTAAAACGGTACAGCCACTTTAGAAGACAGTTTGGTGGTTTCTTACAAAAGTAAACATATTCTTACCATATGATCCAGTAATCATGCTCCTTGGGATTTACCCAAAGGAGCTGAATACCTATGCCCACACAAAAACCTGCACACAGATACATACAGCAGCTTTAATAATAATTGCCAAAACTCGGAGCAATCAAGACATCCATGAGTAAGTTAATGGATAAATTATGGTATATCCAGACAAAGGAATATTATTCAGCACTAAAAGGAAGGAAATGAGCTTTTAGCCAGGCACGATGGCTCATGCCTGTAACCTCAGCACTTTGAGAGGTTGAGGCAGGCAGATCACCTGACGTCAGGAGTTCCAGACCAACTGGCCAACATAGTGAAACGCCGTCTCTAATAAAAATACAAAAATTAGCCAGGAGTGGTAGAGAGCACCTGTAGTCCCAGCTAATCGGGAGACTGAGACAGGAAAATCGCTTGAACCCAGGAGGTGGAGGTTGTAGTGAGCTGAGATAGTGCCACTGTACTCCAGTCTGGGTGACAGTGAGACTGTGTCAAAAAAAAAAAAAGAAAAGGGGAAGGACAAAGTATAAATCCTCTTCCTACAGAGGAAGAACCACCCTTCTATTTTCCCAGGAGAAGCATCTCAAGAAAAATAAATATCATATCACATCAACAGATTTAGAAATGTAATAAGATATAAAATCATTTTTATTTTTATTTTTGAGACAGAGTCTCGCTCTGTTGCCAGGATGGAGTGCAGTGGTGTGATCCTGGCTCACTGCAACCTCTGCTTCCTTGGTTCAAGCGATTCTCCTGCCCTAGACTCCCAAGTACCTGGGCCTACAGGTGCTCACCAGCTAATTTTTATATTTTTAGTAGAGACAAGGTTTCACCACATTGGCCAAGATAGTCTCGATCTCCTGACCTCGTGATCTGCCCACCTCGGCCTCCCAAAGTGCTGGGATTACAGGTGTAAGCCACCGTGCCTGGCCAGTCATTTAACTTTAAAAATTATGGCAAAATATACATAAGTCAAAATTTATCATTCAAACCATTGTGAGTGTATAGTTTAGTGTCATTAAATACATTCACAGTTGTGCAACTTACCAACAACAAAAAGTTTTATTTCTTACATTTCATTATTTTATAACAATTAGTTTGCAAAAGGCTTAAGTCTATTAAAATAAGTCTAATAAAAATAATGTCTTATTAATTTGCCAACCGACATTTTTCAAACTCTAGTAACCTTCTTAATACTATTATCTTAAATATACTACTCATTTACATGAAACTTTTTTAAATAAAACTTTTATGAGAATCAGGATTGTAAGCCAACATGGATGAGGAAATAGGACTTAGCAAAGACAGAAAAGACCACCTCTGTACTCCACAACTTCAAAACTTACCTTATTTTCTTCAACCAATTTGGAAATGAGATCATCTCTAGAAACTAAAAACAAAAATTTCACATAACTATGATAATAGTAACTTGCTACATTGAAATCACAGTGAGAAGCTTTAAATTTTTTATGTCTATTTTTTGTAGAGATAAGAACCCAACTATTTCCATCATATTTTTATAGATTAGAAACTGTTATGGAATTATCAAGAAACTAGTCCACAGTCATTTGCAATGGTAAATGCAGTCTCTGAAGGATGTTATGCTGAGAAGGAGTATGATCAATAGATATGTGTTAGTGAGATCACTCTAACAAAGGTACAATAAAGGAAAGGAGATGAATTTAGTAGCTGTTAAAGTAACTGAAATATGAGTAAATGACAATTCAATAAAGTAATGACAATAAGGACTACCTCTCACTGGTCATGACAACAAAGATGCAGAGGAAAAACAGATACATGAAACAGTAAACAGAGAGCACTCTAGGACTTGGTGGCTTACTGGAGGGGTAAAAGCAGCAAATGAGACAAGGAGAACAACTAGCATTCAGACTTGGGCAGCAGGGTGAACAGTGGACTCTTCAGGTACATAGGGAATACAGAGCATGGAGCAGGTAAAGAAAGAGTGAAACACTTAAGTTTTTCACATGTTTTGACATCTGCAAGGTATGTAAATGCAGATATTTAGCTGACAGTAACATACTGGTCTAGAACTGAGGATGACTTCGCATGGAAAAAAAGATTGGAAACCACTCAGAGCATATATAGTGAAAAGAAAACCAAAGACAGAAAATTGTGGAACAGTTTGGCATTATATACCAGTAGCCAAAAAAGGTAAACTTATCTGAGAGTAATTGCCTTCACAGAAAAATTCACAGAGATCAGTTTTGTTTCACTTAAATATTCTAAAGCCAGAAATTATAAAACACATAAAACTCACATTTTATATAGGATATACCTTTGAAAAACTATACTTTTTGAACATACAAATCCTCGGAATAAACTCTAATTTAAAATATATGAAGGATAAAAAAGATGAACTATATGACTTTTTTTGGAAAATTCCACTAACCAAAATAAGAATAGAAGTGTTTTACTTGGAAGAACAATTTATTCATTTTAAGTACTATAAATATGTATATAAATGCTTATTGTCAATAAACTTGATTACATTTTTAATCCATTGAAGCAAATATTCAAAGGCATTTCTTTTATTAATGTAGTTCGAACAACTACTTGTACCTTTAAGTAATAAAATATATGTCAAGACTATAATTCAATATATGTCAAGTCTATAATTCAATATTATGCATCTAGTTGGCATTCAGACAGACTTCCTTTTCCTTGTGTCAGTTTGAAATTGTGTTTTAATCTTCATTTTTAATGGTCTTGCACAAACTCTTTATAAAATTCAAAAATAAAGCATTAATCCAACAAGAAAGTAACATAAAAATTCAGAGGGCCAACTAATATAATAGAAAGATAACTGTTCTAGGTCCAGCTATTCACTTGCTGTGGGTCTTTGGGTACAGTCAGTGTAGATCCTTTTCTATCTTCTACGCAATGTGTATATCTTCTTATCTTTCTGAAAAGGTTGCTGCAGTGCTCAAACGAGATAATGTGGCAGCATCATAAAATGTACATGTATTTTTGTAGGCACACAATTACAGAAAGACAGAAAATTATCCAGGGGCATTGTCAGTGAGAACTTCACACAGTAACTTACTACTGTAAGAAAAGGAAATATTTTCTGCTAAAAGCAGTAAGTCAAAACATTGAATAAATTACTCTTACTCTATTATTTTTTATCACTTCCATTTCCTTTGTGGTATTATCAGCCCCCATTACAGCCACAGAGCAGAAAAGGTGAACTGGAGAGAACACTAGGCTTGGAGTTAGGAGATCCAGGTCTAGGTTTTACTTTTTCATTTTTTTTTCCTTTTGTAACTCTGGGAAATATGAATAGCTTTGAGTACTGAATGAAATAATTTATGTGAAAGCTCAGTGTAAACCATGATGTATTAGTCACATGAAGCACTGCACTATAACTCTGTGACCTCTGTCATTGAGACTATCTGGAAACTGCTTTACAATAAAGTACTAGCAGCAGTGGTATGATAAAGGGCTGATGGGTTACAACAAACATGACTGAACACCTTGGGATCAAGTCTAGGCTGTTTCATTTCCTGGCTCTGTCACCTTTGAGGATTTATCTATAAAAAGAGGAGATTAAGCTCTCTTTAAGGTACCTTACAATTTCCATGTCTACAAATATATGTTAACCAAAATAGATTGATAACATGAAGAATGGAGAATCTGACATGATGAATTGACAGAATCAGTAAGTTATCAAGGATTCATGGCCTTATTATTTTATTATCCAATATTCAATCTATTGTTTTACTTTTTTGCCAAATATTAAATCCAGATGTCTAGAAACCAAATATTCCCAAGTCCACAAAAAAGCTGGAAAAAAACTAAATAAGGACTTGTTTACAATTAAGGGGGTCAAATCCATTATTAACAACATTCCTTTCTAACTCAGTACAATAGGTAGAAGGGAAATCTGCAATTTTTTACATACAGCACTGTGGAAAATACCAGTAACACTTGTCACTTTAAGAATGTGGGATCTTAAGAGTTTTTCGATGAAATCTCAAAAAACAAACAAGAAGCTGATTTCCAGCATCTAGTTTCATACTTAGATCAGATTTGAGCTGTGAAGTAGCAGTCTCCAACTCTTCTTTTTTTTTCTGTTCCTGGGCCAGTAGTTCTTGAGTGCTCTGTATAGAATCGCGTAGAGCAATGCAGTTTTGCTGCAAAATGTGCACCTGAAATTGTATCAGAAAAACTCCTTTTCTGTAAGATAAAGATTTCTAATAAACTACCTTATATCACATGTGTAAGGAACATTCCAATCTTAATGTCACTGAGAAGCAACAAGAAGTTAGTCTATGTTACAGTTAAAATCTCAATAAAATGCGGTCTTGGAGCGGTGCCACCCAATAGAACCTTCTGTGCACTCTCCAATGCAAACAGTGCACTAGCCACACGTGGCTACTGAATACTTGAATGTGGCTAGTGTGTTAAGAAATAAATATTTTATTTAACCGATTTAAATAGCCAAATGTGGCTAATGGCTACCATATTGGCACTGTAAGTTAGAGCAACAAAGGGTCATCTGTAAATTCCTAAAGTAGAATCTTAGTTATAATTCAGTTATGAAGAAAAACCATTGGTTAAAAGATTATATCATCCAAAAAAATTATTTTAAAATATGAAAATATGAATTGACTCAGAATTTAAAGTATGCTAAATGTAGATACTTCAAATAATAAATATGAAGGTAAAAATATCATGTTAAAATAAATAATGATAATTGAAAACAGCAGTGTAAACATAGTCCTGATTGTTTTACTTATTGATATCCTTTGTTTCCAGTGTTAGCTCAGTTTAGCCTTTCTTTTTTTTTTTTTTTTTTATTTTATTTTATTGCATTTTAGGTTTTGGGGTACATGTGAAGGACATGCAAGATTGTTGATAGGTACACACGTGGCAGCGTGATTTGCTGCCTTTCTCCCCATCACCCATATTTGGCATTTCTCCCCATGCTGTCCCTCCCCTATTTCCCCCCAACAGACCCCAGTGTGTAGTGCTCCCCTCCCTGTGTCCATGTGTTCTCACTGTTCAACACCCGCCTATGAGTGAGAACATGTGGTATTTAATCTTCTGCTCCTGTGTGAGATTGCTGAGAATGATGGTTTCCAGGTTCACCCACGTCCATGTCAGACATACACAGCATGAGACCAGGGCAATGCCTTCCAAAATCAATCTCCATAGCAGAAAGTGGACAGTATAAGGCAAAGATATCTTTCCTTAGGAGCCAAGAGTCCACCTCTATAAAGCCTGAGGTAAATTAACCTCTCTGGTCCTTAGCTCTCTGATTTATAAATTAAGAGCATTTAATAATGACATTAGGGTCTTTCTTATTTTGCACTAACTTAAAAAAACAGTAGTAAGATTGTTAACATATTACTAACAAAAAGTAAATATTTTAGTAAATCTAGAGGAAATTAGTAAAATGTTAAGTTTATAGGTAAAATATCAATTTTTGTTTGGTTTCACATTCCAAATATACATAAGGAGAGGAATTCTTTCTACCTGTTTTCGTTCTACCTCCACTGTTGATCCCATTTCTTGTATTTTGAGGAGCATGGCTGATCCTGATTTCTCTAAAGATTCCCTAAGGTACTTCTCCTGAGCCAGTTGTCTCCTTAGCTACAAAGCAACACTGCAGTTAGGTAAGACCAACTGAACATCATACTATTTCAACAAACATCAAAGTTACCTGAGAAGTTTGTCAGACGTGCCATCTCATCCCCCAACAGTCTTAATTCATTTATGACTACTCAGAAACATGCTTTTGTTTCTCCCTGGATTACCTAGGAATACCTCCTAAGGAATGTAGATCAAAATTTATTGCTCTCATCCTCCTATAGTTTAGGTCTGTTTTCCAAACTGGAGGTTAAAACCCATTCGTAAATTGAAAGAAGCGCTTAGAATAAGGGGGAAAAAAAGACTAGAAAAAAAATATCAGAGTACATAGGAAGTAGTAAGGGGAAGTTCTGCTTTGTGAAATGTTTGTGTATATATGTATGTGTGTTGCAGTGTAAAATATATGTCCAACAATGGATTGTCAAAAAAAAGTTTGAAAAACACTAGTATTCTTTGTGTATTTTCTGTATTTCTATATTTTCTGGCTTTATTTTTCAATTCTAATTTTCCTGTATTTTGATTTATCTATATATTTTTTATCCTTCAGTATTACAAATCTCTCTCTGAAAACTGTTTTCATTCTGTTTTGGAATTTAGAGTTCTAAACAAATAATGAAATAACCATTAAGTGGCAGACAAAACTGATACTCAAAGAATTTAGGTGCTGTAATATTGTGATATAATAAGAAATATATATTTAGTCTCTGACCCTGGTTCCTAGCACATAGCTCATAAAAACCTTGGAATCACCTCAAAAGAGTGTCTTTTGTGTGCTAATGAATTATTGGCTGGGGTGGGGGAAGATAGGTAGCTGTGGTAGGGGCTGGTCCCCAGAAAGACCAAGGCATGATTAGAGGATTGGGACTTCTAGCCCTCCTTTCAACCTCTAATGATGGGAAAAGGGCTGTAAGGGAAGTTGATCATCAGTGGCCAATGATTTAATCAATCATGTCTATGTAATGAAGCCTCCATAAAATTCAGAAGAACTAGGTTCAGAGTGCTTCTGGATAGCTGAACACATGGAGGTGCTTGGAGGGTGATGAGCCCCAGAAAGGGCCTGCGCCCCTTCCCACATGCCTTGCCCTAAGCATCTCTTTCATCTGGCTGCTCAACAGTATCCTTTGTAATGTCCTCTATAACAAATGTGTGTAAATGAAGTGTCTGAATTCTCTGAGCTATTCTAGCAAATTACTGAAACTTGTGGAGAGGCATCATAGGAACACCGATTTTTTGCAAGTCAGTTAGAAGGACAACTTGAGGCTTGCAATTGGCATCTAAAGTGGGGGGCAATCTTGTGAGACTGAATCATCACCTATCTCCAGGTAGATAGTGTCAGGACTCAATTGAATTAATTGAGGACACTCAACTGGTGTCCACGAAGATCAGAATTTCTTGGTGTGTCATTGGGTGTCAGAACTGTTGTGCTGTGAGGTATGTAAGAGTGGAAAAACACACTTTGTTTTTTTTCCCTATTTTGGAGGCACACTGACCTTATTTCTGTCAATAAATGACTATAAAAAGAATCACACAAAATAAAAAGAAGGTTAAGCGTCTCTTTTATTATTAGGTAAAGAGATCCCTTCCAATTGAAACAGGAATTGCAGAGAATGCTATTCCTTTTAAGAAGTGATGTGAAACTGAAAGATGTTCTATTTTAAAACATCACTGTAGATGACATTGAGTACCCTCTACCTGTTTTCTAAATTGTACACATATTTTTTCCTCTATGGATAATATATTTTATATTTTTTAAAATGTTTCTTAAAAGTTAAAAAAGGTTAAAAATGTGTTGGGGTAAAACTATTACAAGATTGATCATTTTGGAAATGCTCTATAACTTTTTAGATCATATCCTTGATAAAATGACATACAGGTTTTTCCAATTTTTCACTATTCTAAATACTGCTCTCCTGAACATACTTGTGAGTAGATCTTTCCTTACTTTTCTGATTATTTCCTTAGGACAAATTCCTATAAGAAGAATCACTAGGTTAAAGGTATAAATGTTTTTAAAATTTTTTGATACATACTGTAATTTTCTAATTATTACCTTCCTATCTTACTATTTGAATAAATCTCATCAGTACTATGTATTAAAATTTGCTTAAATCTCTTCTGATGTAATAAATGAAAACTAACATCTTAATATTTCTGTATTTCTTTGGTTACTATGAGATATCTTCTAATATTGTTATCAGCTCTTTATATATTAATAAACTGTCAATACTTATCCTTTGTCCATTTTTTAGGGGGTATTTTTAGATAATTTTATGGTTTTTTTTTTTTTTTTTTTTTTTTTTTTTTTTTTTTTTTTTTTTTTTTTCATTTTTTTTTTTTGAAACAAGGTCTCACTGTGTCAACCAGGTTGAGTGAAGTGGTACAACCATGACTCACTGCAGTCTTGACCTCCCAGGCTCAAGTGATCCTCCCACCTCAGCCTCCTGAGTACCTGGTACTAAAGGAGTGTGCCACCATGCCCAGCTGATTTTAAAAATTTGCTATTGATCCAGGGTCTCACACTGTTGCCAAGGCTGGTCTCAAACTTCTGGGCTCAAGTGACCCTCCTGCCTTAGCCTCCTAAAATGCTAAGATTACAGGTATGAGCCACTGTGCCTGGCAGTTTTGAGTTTTGGGGGGGTTTTTGGAGACAGGATCTCACTCTGTGGCCAAGGCTGTAGTGCAGTGGCATGATCACTGCAGCCTCAACCTCACAGGCTCAACTGATCCTTCCACCTCAGCCTGCTAAGTAGCTGGGACCACAGGTGTACACCACTGTGCCTGGCTAATTTTTTTTTTTTTTTTGGTAGAAATGGAATTTTGCCATGTTGCTCAGGCTAAGTTCTTTAAAAGGGAAGACTATTAACTCTTTGCCTAGTTGTGTTATAATGCCTTATTACAGGAGTCCCCAACCCCCGGGGCCACAGACTGGTACTGCTCTATGGCTTGTTAGTAACCAGGCCACAGAGCAGGAGGTGAGCAGTGGGTGAACCAGCCCTACCGCCTGAGCTCTGCCTTCTGTCAGATCAGTGGCAGCATTAGATTATCACAGGACCATGAACTCTAATGTGAACTGTGCAAGCAAGGGATCTAGGTTGCGTGCTTCTTTTCAGAATCTAACTAATGCCTGATGATTTGAGGTGGAACAGTTTCATCCCAAAACCATTCCCCTCAACTCCCCAACCCCATGGAAAAACTGTCTTCCACAAAACTGGTCCCTAGTGCCAAAAAGGTTAGGGACTGCTGTTTTATTAGTTTTGCTTTTTATATGTAGAAGTATTCTTCTACATATAAAGGTCAGTGGTCAAATCTACTGACCTTTTTATAATTCCATTCTTTTTAAGCTTAGAAATTGCATATTTACTCAATGATATGTTAAACATTACAATCTTATGTAAGAATGAGCCATTTTATTTGTGGTTATATTTTTTCAGATTTTAGTTTCAGATTATAATTATATAGAGTAGCTTAGTATACTTTTCTAAACTTTGTGTCAATTTATACAATTTGTTCAAGATAAAATTTATTCCTTGAAAGTTTCAAAATACTCACCCAGGAAATCATCTCATTTAAATTTTAGTTGCATCACTGTCAAATGTGATTCAATCTCTAGTTCATTCGGAATTAAATATTTCACTCTTTTAAATTCTGTGTTAATCACCCCATTATGTATGCTTCAAAGCATTCAGCTAGCCACCTTTTTAAAGAATGGCCACTTTCAAAAACAGACATTTTCCTCTCTTATACATGGGCCACTTTCAAAAACAGACATTTTCCTCTCTTATACATGATATACCTATAATGTGCTGTACAAAAGCATATTGCAAAGAGAATGCTTTAATACTGAAGTATTTATTTCCGAAGTACTATTAAGGGCAATCAGTTAATCCATTGAATGTTTATCATATCCAGATTTTGTATCTATCTTATATTTATTATATCTTAGGAAGATAAATACCACACTTCTTCTATCTGTATATAATCCTTTGTCATAGGCTGATTGTGTCCTCTAAAATTCTTACGTTGAAGCCCAACATCTGCTACCACACAAGGAGACTTTATTTGGAGATAGGGCCTTTCAACGGGCTTCAACTGGCGATTAAATTAAAACAAAGCCACTGGGGTGGACCCTAAACCAATCTGACTATATCCCTCTTAGAAAAGATTTAGACACACAAAGACACCAGAGATGGGTATACACAAAGAAAAGAGCATGTGAGGACCCAGTTAGAAGGTGGACACCTTCAAGTCAAGGAGAAAGGCCTCAAGAGAAACCAAATCTGCTAACACCTTGACTTTGGACTTCAAGCCTCCAGAACATATAAATAAATAAATTTCTGTTTACACCACCAAGTCTTTAGGACTTTGTTATGGCAGCCCCGCAAAATAATACACCCTTTCTATTTCACATGGCCTCAGAATGCCCATGTTTGACTAGCGTAGTACTTCTGCATGTCTTTGACAGAGTTTAATCAAAATTCAAGACTTTACCATAGAACCAAGAATTAAGAATAAGACTTTCCTAGTAAAAAATAATGTTAAGTGGCAATCCAAAAGAGAAAAGATTGTCTTTTCAACAAACAGTGCCAGAAACACTGGACATCCATATACCAAGAAGAAATTCATCTAGATACAGATCTCATACCTTTCATAAAAATCAGCTCAAAATAGATCAAAGACCTAAATGTAAAATGAAAACCTACAAAATCTCTTAGAAGATTATGCAAAAGAAAATCTAGGTGACTTGGGTTTGTTGACTTTTTAGATACAATTCTAAAATTACAATCCATGAAAGAAAAAATTGATATACTGGACTTCATTAAAATTAAAAGTTCCTGTTCTGTGAAAGACAACTAAAAGCATAAAAAGATAAGCTATGCAGTAGGGGAAAATATTTGTGTAACACATCTTTGATAAAGGACTGGTACCCAAAATATACAAAGAACTCTTAAAACATAACAATAAGAAATAACCCAGTTACAAAATGGGGTAAAAGTCTAACAGATAACTCACCAAAGGAGATATACGGATGGCAAATAAACACATGAAAAGATGCTCAATGTCATTATATCATTAGGGATTGCAAATCAAAACAAGATACCACTACACATCTATTGGAATGGCAAAAAATTCAAAACACTGACAAGACCAAATGCTGGTGAGGATGTGCAGTAACCATAACTCCTATTCCTTGCTGATGGGCATGAAAAATGATACAGCCATTTTGTAAGACAGGTTGGCAGCTTCATGCAAAGCTAAATATAGGCTTACCAGATGATCCAGCAATTATACTCCTAAGTATTATATTTACTCGAAAAAGCTGCAAACTTATGTCTATGTAAGAACCTGCACACAATGTTTACAGCAGCTTTACTCATAATTGCCAAAAATTGGAAGCAAACAATATGTCCTTGAATAGGTGAATGGATAAACAAATTGTGGCACATACAATAGAACACTGTTCAGCTATATAAAGAAATGAGTTACTGAGCCAGGAAAAACCATGAAGGAACTTGAAGCACATATGCTAAAAAAGAAGTCAGTACAAAAAGGCTACATACTTACTGTATGATTCCAACAATAACACAACTACACAGACAAAAAAAGAAAATCAATCGTTGTCAGGGGCTTCGGGGAAGACATGAGGAGGGATGGGTAGGTGGAGCACAGGGCATTTTTAGGGCAGTGCATCTATTCTGTGTGATCCCATAATGATGAATACATGGCATTATGCATTTGTCAAACCCACAGAACTTTACGGCATGATGAATAGTGAATTTTAACATACTTCACTAAATGATGGATCAATATTGGCTCGTCAAATGTTACAAAAGTACCATACTAATGCAAGATGTTAATAATAGGGAAACTACAGGAGTGGAGAGAAGGGTATAGAGGAACTCCGTGTTTTCTGCATCATTTTTCTGTGAACCTAAAACTGCCCTAAAAATAGTCTATTAAAATATCTTAAAAATAATACATTCTAACTATGAACAATCAAGCTTTTATCAGAAATTACTGGCAAATAAAATACTCAATGTAAGACAATTTTCCAAATACTGATGCTTACCACCTAAGCACTAAAATTTAGAACCTTAAAAATAATTTTGCATAAGAATTTTCCTTAAAAATATGTCTACTTCTCATTTTGTATAACAGAATCTTTTAAATATAATTTGACCCACTTAATTTGAACCAACAAAAATTATTAATACCATTATATCATGGAATATTGAGGTTTCAGGCTGCTGCCAGAATATACTGAGTTAGTAATTATACTGATTCTTCCACTGTTTTCAGCTGAAAATTTTTAGTCCAACAGCTTTTAGCAGCCACCTACTTCATATTTCCCAATCTGCTATCGACTAAAACAAGCTGAAATGAAAGTTTAAGGTAAAATTAGATGAGCAGACTTACTAATAACTTTTTATTTTAAATACAACTTTAGATTAAAAGGCCTTTGCATGAAAGCGTCCACTTAACTACAGTATAGGGGCTGCCACAAGTGATAACTATTTCCTTCCTGGCTCACAGAGCATTTATTTTTTATTTCTAGTTTTATGGCAGTATTGAGGTAAAAGGAAGTCTTAATGTCATATAAGGGCAGAAACTTTCACTTGAATTCAATGTGGCATATTTTTAAAGTCTCCCTACTACATAGTCACATATTTCCTTCTTCAAACGTTTCTTTTCATTCTCTCTTTCAGCTTTCTTGATTTCCCTCGTGCAATTCCAACACCTCCTCCACCCTCCATCTTTTTGTCTTACCTCCTGAATTTTAAGGTTCATTTTACGTTTTGTGGTCTTCAGTTCCTCTTCAATAACGGCTGCATTCTTCTAAAAGTAGAAGGAAAAAAGGTTCTAAATAATCTGAAATGACAGGAAAAAATTGTCTATAGGTATTATTGGATCAAATCAGGTTTTTTTCTGGCAACCTATACATACATGCCATTTTTAATATGGTTATAACTCTTTGTTATAAGCCCAAAGTAATTATTACCATGAGTTATTTAGCAGGAAGGTTATTTTATTACATATAAGGTTATTTTATTATATATGCATATTATATATACATGATTTCTATAATTTCCTCTTTTATATCATAAATAGTGGTTAATTACACCCACCTCCTATATAAGATTCAGTAATTAACGGATAATCTGGTAATTGAAAGACATTTTACTTACAGGGTAAATTCTTAATTTTTTTAAGAACTCTATTTTTTCCACCTTCAAATATTATTCATGCTTACGAGCTGAGGATAAAAGCTTTCCCTACTTATTCTCTTTTTTATTAAGATGAATGGCACCACAATCTCAGATGTAAAGGCTCAGAGCCATCTTTGCCTTCCTTACTGCCACCAGTTCCTCCCAATACCATATTCTAACATATCTTTTTTTTTTTTTTTTTAAAGAATCAACTTTTTGTTTCATTGACTTTTGTATTGTTTACTTCATTCTCATTTCATTTCATTTCTTTCTTTCTTTTCTTTTTCTTTTTTTTTTTTTTTTTTTAAAGAATATTCTTCTTTCTTTTCAAAATGCCACAACCCTAGATCAGACCTAATTTGGCTCATGCCTCAAATAATGCCATGGATTCCTAATTGGTTTCCCTGCCTCCAAGTTCTCTCTCCATTTTCAATATCCTGTAATACTGCTAAATTTGTTTTCCTGTTTTCATTATGTCACTTCCATATCAAAAATCTTAATCTTTCAAGTAGTTGGGGTTGATCCTATGGGGAGTGCTGCCTTGAAAGGATCAACCTCAACTACTAATTATTATTGACTTTGAGCTGCTCTATGTCATTGCTAGCTAATACCCAACTTATTTCCCACAAACAAATCCTCACTCTTGAAAGACTAGTTTATACATTTCCCCTAGCTGTACCCAGTAGAAACATCTGGGTTCAAACCTGAGTAACAAGAAGATGACAGGCATGTGTGATCTTAGACAAGTAATTTCTCCCAGGGAGCCAGTACTATCATTGTTAAAAAATAGGAACAGTAATATCCTACTTCCCAAGGTTTTGCAAAGATTAAACAAAATAATACATTGACCATCGATTATGTTGCCTAGCCCATGAAGGGAGAACAACATTGTCAGTTTCTTTTCCAAGGAGTCCTTATTCTTTGCTGCCTCTGCATATGCTCCTTGAAATTTCCTCACCCCTATACTTTGCTTCTAAAGGTCCTATCCCTTTCCTGAAGCCTACCTAATCTATTCTAGATAGGGCGTGCTCACCCTTTCAGACATGTCTGAACACAAAGCCCTTACTCGGCAATATTCACTTTTTGTCCTATACTATACCGTAACATTTCCTATACTCCTATTTTTCCCTTATTGAATTTTTCATGCTGTGGCTTGTTCTCCCAATAAGCATAAGAGTTCCTGAAGAGCACAGGCTCTGTCTCATACCTCTGGACCCTTACCATCACTTGTATGGGGTAAATGCTGTCTAAATAATCAATCACGGACAGCACACAGTGGTTTAGGTTATCAATGCAAATGTCATAGGCCAAGAGTCCTCAAATCAACATGCCAAATGTCAAATGCCGAGAATCTTCATATCAACATCACCTATTTTTAAAAGTCAGTGTCATAGGTCTGTTGCCTCCTCCAGCTAACACATAACAGCGCGTACTTCAGGACTCTAGACTCAAACCTTTGTTTGCGAGGCAATCTCCAGAGTGGCAGTCAACCTTTGCACCTCATCTTGTGCCTTGTCTTCTTCCTCTTTTACAGCTCTCAGTTGCTGGCGCAAATTCATAACTTCGAGATGTAACAGTTTCAGGTCCTTAGAATGCTCGTCCTGTACTGTATTCAGTTGATCTTTCAGAAAAGCTACCAGATAGCACAGGAGGGACATCAAGCAATAGAAAGTCAGTAAAGGAAATCAAGCACCTACACAGGACCAAATTTCTGATGATTCTTATCTCTATACCTGTTTTCTGAGGATTCAAATCCTTTTCAGTTTGCAGGCGAAAGATGTTCATCTTCAAGGACTGAATGAGGCTTTCAAGACGGCACATTCGATTTACCAGAAACTCACAGTTCTTCCATAAAATGTCAGTTTTTCCTGCACAAATTACTTCATTTTGAATAGGACTAATGACTTTCTGGCTCTCCAGGTCTTCTAAACAGCTTGGAGTTTCCAACTGGCCTCTGGACAAAGATCCCAATAAAACAATATTATGCAATGCAATTTCTACTACAGTAATCCCAACAATTGAGTCAATGTAACATTTCCAGTTAAGAATAACTGGAGCGTGACATCACCAACATGACAGGTCTCTGACTCTCCCTCCATGTAGGGATACACTAAATAAACATCTATACACAGATCTATTCCCTCTGAGACAAAGTCAGAAACAAGTTGAGAGACTCTTCTGTATCTGGCAACTGAGAAAATACTCACATTGACTAGGTAGGAAAAGCTGAGGCACACTCAGGCCCAAACTCCACTCCAGGCACTGTTAAGAAGGTATCCCCAACACCCACCCTCTCCCTGAGGAGAGTAGGGTTTGGACCACATATTTAGAGCCCTAACTCTAAGATTCCCCACAGTGTGGCTCGATTCACCTGGCTCTAGGGGCAGAAGGGATTAGGCATACATGAGTCTCCCTAGACTGTAGAACAAAGAGGTGATTATATATGGGTGTGTAAGCATTTACAGAGGCTTCATCCCCCAGGATCAGGGTAGAGAAAGGACTAAAACTCAAAGCTCCCAGTTTCTGCTTAGAAGAGGTTTGCCAGTGTACTCTGTCAACTGCTGCTGTTAAGAGTTGAGCTTCATACAAGCCTGCACCAGAGAATTAATTGGGCTGACAAACACCAACCTTTGGCAGCCCCCAAACCTATTCCCCTGGCTCATTCCATCAATAACTCCACGCTACCAATTCCTCCTGGAAAAAGTTTTTCCATGTATCAAGTGCCCCAACTTTTAAAACTTCTACTTGAGGGACTGCATCCTAAATATCCTAGCTCTAGGGGTAGAAAGGATTAGGAATACAAGACTCTCATATGAGACTCACGGGTTGCAATACCAGGAGGTGGTTTTAAACGGGAGTGTAAGCAGTTCCAGGGACTACACCTCTTGGAAGCAGTGAAGAGAAAGTGATAAAACACACAGTTTTGCTTTTGTCTAAAAAGGATTTCTCTGTACATTCTTCCAGTGAATAATTGATGGTCTGGCTTCTAACTAACTTACATCAGGGAGTTAATGGGGCAGGCAAACAATACACCTCCGGCAGTCTAAATGAGAGCTTGGTACTTGCCAAGATTTCTCCCCTAGCTTGCCCCAGTGATAACTCCAAGTCTACAGAAGCTTCCTATACGTAGTTTGTCCACTCATCAAGTGTCGTAACTTCTACAGCTCTCATACAAGGACTACCTCCTTAGACATCCAGCTCTGGGAGCTGATTTGGCTCTGCATTTCCAAGTATCTTTAGGCCACAGAAAACAAAGAGGTAGATATACAATGGGCCCACTTCCAGTGGCCATATCCTCACAAGATTCAGTCTGAATGACAGTACTACAGGTATTTGCCACAGAGCTTCTCCCTGGCTTAAAGAGAGAAAAATGCCTGCCTTTGCGCAGATAGATAATGCCTGCTTTAGTGCAATAAGGGATAAATACCTGCTCTCAGCTTCACCCTGCGGATAGAAGGAACTGGAACCTGCATCTAACACCGCAACATTTTCGGCTGCATCTAGAGAGCATAGCTTCTGTCGTACCGCTCTCATGGTACTAACAAGACTTGGCACATCTTAATCTTCTGGGGCCACCAAAAATAGAGAGATCGGATTGTACAAATACAGAGATTTGAGACAGGTATTATAATTTCTGGCTATATGAATTGGTAAGATCTCCTACACGAGGGCCAGTTTGACAAGACTGGGAGAGGTTACTGTCTTATTCAATCCACAGAAACCAACACAGGGTTTAAAAAAAAAATGAAGACATAGGAAAATGTTCCAAATAAAAGAACAAGATAAATCTCCAGAAACCAATCCTACTGAAATGGAGATATGTGGTTTATCCAGGAAGACATTCAAAATAATGGTCATAAAGATGCTCACAAAGGTCAGGAAAATAATGCAAGAACAAACAGAATTTCAACAAAAGAGAGTAAGAAAGTATAAAAAAGTACCCAACAAATCATATAGTGAAGAATACTATAATAAAACTGAAAAAATTCAATATAGGGGCTCAATGACAGACTATATCAAGTGGAAGTGAATAAGTAAACCTGAGGACAGGTCACTGAAAATCATCCAACGTGAGAAGCAGAAAGAAAAAAATGGAAATGAGTAGATAGTTTATGGAACTTATGAGATACCATCAACAGAACAATATGCCCATGATCACAAGTACAGAAGACAAAGTAAAAGGAACAGAAAACACATTCGAAGAAACAGCAAAAACACTTCCCAAGCCTGGGGAATGATATAGAAATCCAGGTCCAAGAAGCCTAAAGGATGACAAATAAGATGAATTCAGAGTTTCATAGTCCCATACTTAGACACTTACACAGTTTGGACATTTGTCCCCTCCAAATCTCACGTTAAAAAGTGATTCCCACTGTTGGAGGTAGGGCCTTGGCGGGAGCTGTTTGGGTCATGGGACAGATCACTTATGAGTGGCTTGGTAATGAGTGAGTTCTCACTTTTAGTTCACACAGAGTTGGCTGTCTAAAGGAGCATGGCATCTCCTTCTCTCTCTCACTCCCTGTTTTACCATGTGACTCACCTGCTCCCCCTTTGCCTTCCACCATGATTTAAGCTTCTTGAGGCCCTCATTAGAAGGTAAACAGATACTGGTGCCATGCTTTTATAGCCTGCAGAACTATGAGCCAAATATATGTCTTTTCTTTATAAATTACCCAGCCTCAAGTATACCCTTATAGCAGCACAAAATAGACTAACACAGAAAGTTGGTAATAGAGAGAAGCACTGGCATAAAGATACTTGAAAATGTAAAAGCAGCTTTGGAAATGGGTGATGGGCCTCCACTGGAAGAGTTTGGAGGGCTAAGAAGAACACAGGAAAACAAGGGAAAGTGGAACTTCTTAGAGACTTAAGTGGTTCTAACAAAAATGCTGCTAGATATGTAGACAGAGGACAGGCTGATGAAGTCTCAGATAAAAATGAGGAAGTTATCGGAAAATAGAGTAAAGGACACCCATGTGACACCCTAGCAAAGAACTTGGCTGCACTATGTCCATGTTCTAGGGATCTGTGGAAGTTTGGATTTTTTTTTTTTTTTTTTTTTTTGAGACAGTCTTGCTCTGTCTCCAGCTGCCAGGCTGGAGTTCAGTGGCTTGATCTCAGCTCACTGCAATCTCT